ATCTATACTAATAAAAGGATAATATGCTAATTAAACTGGGAGACCATCCAGGAGACCTTTGGACAAAGATATGGTGGCGGGGCTGAGGTAGAGGCGGTTCGGGGCCAAGAAGGGAGGGCAGTTGTGGGTGATCAGGCCAGGATGGGTCCGCAGTTGCTGGTGATCAGGCCAGTGGGGGTGGGCTGTTGTGGGTGATCAGGCCAGCAGGGGGTGGCAGTTGGAGGTGAGCAGGGCAATCAGTCAGGCAGGCGAGTGGTTAGGAGCCAGCAGTCCCAGATTGCGAGAGGGATGTCCTACTGCCAGTTTAGTTACTTTAATAAAACTTGATTAATGCGTGCATTATATAGCTTTTTTATGTATTAATGGTTTAAAGGGGGACTCATTTATATTCACTTATGGATGTACTAGAGGCCTGATGCACAGAATTCGTGCAAGAGTAGGCCTTCCTTCCCCCGGCTGCTTGCACCACCTTCCCTCTGGCCCCCGGGACTGGGGCTTTCCTCTGGCACCCAGGACCTGGGCTCTCCTCCAGCCACTGGCAGGCAGCTGGGACCCAGGCTTCCCTCATAGCACTGGCTTCATCTGGAAGGTCGTCTGGAAGGGCATCTGGTCTAATTAGCATATTATACTTTTACTAGAGGCCCGGTGAACAAAAATTGGTGCACTGGCGGGGGGGTGTCCCTCAGCCCCACTTGTGCCCTCTCACAGTCTGGGACCCCTCGAGAGATAACGACGTGCTGGCTTAGGCCCGCTCCTGGGTGGCAGAGGGCAGGCCCAATCCCTAGGTGCAGCCCCTGGTCGGGCTCAGAGCAAGGCCAATTGGGGGGTTGGGGCGCCGCCCACTGTCACACTCAAGGCAGGGTCGATGGGGAGGTTGCCGCGCCACCCCCTGTCACGCACAGAGCAGGGCCGATCAGGGGGTTGGGGCGCTGCCCCCTGTCACTCACAGAGCAGGGCCCATCAGGGGGGTTGGGGCTCCATACCCTGTCACACACAGAGCAGGGCCAATCAGGGGGTTGGGGCGCC